GGTCCTCTGTAAGAACAGTCAGTGCTCTTAACCGCTGAGCCATCTCTCCAGCCCCTGGACATGCACTTTTTAAAAAGTCTTTTGCAGGATGGAGAGATGGCTCGAGATATGGCTCAGCGGTTAAGAACACTGGTTGTTCTTGCAGAAGACATGGGTTTGAATCCCAGCACCCACATGGCAACTAACAACTGTCCATAATTCCAGTCCCAGGGGATCCGACAGCCTCTTCTGAGCTCCGAGAGCATTGCACAACACAGGTGCACTTACCTACATGCAGGCAATACATGCACACACATAAAATAAAAATAATAAATGAAATTTTAAAAAAAAATATTTTAAAAAGTCTTTTGCTAGATGTGGTGGCACACACCTTTAATCCCCAACACTCAGGAGGCAGAGGCAGGTGGATCTCTCTGAATTTAAGGCCAGCTTAGTCTTCATGGCAAGAAGACCACCAAGGCTAGACAGTAAGACTCTGTCTTTTAAAAAGCAACCAAAAAAACTAATAATAATAATAATACAACCAAAAACCACTCTGGCTATGTGGCCTTGAACTCATGACCCTCCTACTTCTGTTTTCCATTTGCTGGGGTTATGAGCAAGTACCACAAACCCAGATGAGAACTTTTATCCTCTATAAAATTCCTAGGAAGCATAGCACATCTGTTAAGATGAAAGCAATGTCTGGCTGTCATTTTGAAGACTAAGAATTATATGATAGCTTTTAGATATTAAAGACAGAAAGGAAAAAACTTTATAAATGTACAAACTGCTTCTGAACCCCTTTCTATTTTAATCCAACCAGGCTGGAATCTACATTGTCAGAATCAAGGAAAGCAAGGAGGTAACAAAAAGGATGTTAAATGGGTATCTTCTCTTTAACCCAGTGCAGGCCACTAGAAGAGCAAACGTTTCACCATTGTCAATGTTTCCAAAAAAATTTAGCAGTAATAACTTTTTTTTGGCGGGGGGGGGGCGCATCTTTTTGAGACAGGGTCTCCCTATAGCCCCAGCTGGCCTGGATCTCACTATGTAGAAGAGGCTGGCCTTGAACTCAAGAGATCTCCTGAATGCTGGGGCTAAAGGCATGCCCCACCACGCCCAGCCCTAATGGTAATTACTTTAAGATACACAGAGCCAAGAAGTATCAGCAAGTAAAAACACTTGCAACACAACCATGACAACCTGAGTTCAATCCCCAGAACCCATGGAGAAAACTAGATGTGGTGGTAAGCATCTGTAATTCCAACACTACTACTGTGAGATGGGAGGTGAAGGAGAATGGGCCAGAAGCCAGTAGGCCAGATAGCCTGAAGTACACAGTCCAACAGCAGAAATAACAAGAAACTCTTCTCAAAAATAAGACGGAAGGAAAGAACTGCCTCCCAAAAAAAGTTGTCCTGACTTAGATGCACACCACGGAACATGTACTTGTCGTCCCCCCGCCCCATGCACAAATTAATTATTGTTAACTAAATAATTTTTAAATATACTGTACACTAGTGTGCCAAAATCAGCTGGTAAGGTGTGCTTAGTATAACTTATTACAATAAAATTTAAATCGCAAAAGTTTGGGAATTCTTTAAAAAAAAATCAAAACTAAACTTCTAATGACCTCACCTTTATCCATGAACATTTGTACTTTCAGGAATCCCATTTATAAATTTTTCTGCGGGCACTTCTGCTGGGGGTAGGGGGGAGTGTAATTGCCTAAGAGTGGAATTCCATGTACCTCTACCCCTCATCCTATGACAGTCAGAAGGACGGGCTATCAAGGATGACACTGAAAGCAGAAGGGGAATTATTTGGGGAAAAGAAGGTGGAGCAACAAACAGCTCTGCTTATCATGCTTTGGGAATCCAGGGATCCATAACAGCAGTTCAGCACACCTGCCCTGGAGGAACACAGTCTAAGATCAGAACTTCTCTGAGGGCAACCCCAACCACCACACTAGACAATAAGAACCAGTAAGAATGATGGAGAATGAAGCTGCGTAGAGGTTAAGAATAAAGGCAGAGGGTTAAAATCATCTATTCACTGCTGATGTGCAGCTGACAGGAGACATACAGAATTTTCCAGATTATCTATGTGTCATCAACTAGTACCTGCTTGTGTGTGAGGCCCACAAACCGTCCAAACTATCCAAGTATTACTCACTACCAGTTCCCATGAAGGCAATACCACATCTATGTTAAGTTCTCCCCCTTCCCCTTCCTTCCAACATACTCACCAATGACAACTCTAAATTTTAAGCCCTTAGACAAATGTATTGTTGACACTGTCCCACCCTAAGCCAGAAGTTCATCTTTCTGTCCTGAATACGGGAAAAGGAAGTCCTAGACAGAGTCCCACTTCTACAACCTCTAGTTGAAAAAGGCATAAAAATGGTGATAAACATGGTATGTCTCACACACACACACACACACACACACACACACGCACGTGCGCACAACCCACTATTTTGTATGCTAAAAAAATTTAAAGTTTAAACAATTGGTGTAACACTAATTTTAGAATTATGACTTCTTAGAAACACATTCCTTTAACTTATAAATGAAACACCTTCCCAGTCTCAAAACACTTTCACGCCAAGCGTGGTGGCACATGCCTTTAATCCCAGCACTCGGAAGGCAGAGGCAGGCAGATCTCTGTGAGTTCAAGGCCAGCCTGGTCCACATAGTGAGTTCCAGGACAGCTGGGGCTACAGGGAGACCCTGTCTCAAAAAGACCAAAAAAAAAAAAACAACCAAACAAACAAAAAAACCACTTTCACATACACTGGATAAGTCTTTACAAGAACCTTGGAATGTCAATAAAACTAACGTTCCCCTCCTTCACAGCTGACCTAACCCAAGTTTAGAGACGTTGTAAAAGAAGTGACTTACCAGACAACACTTAGTAGATGCCAGTCACTATGTGAAAACTCCAAAAATCTGCCTAACACATAGTCCCTATTGCTGGGCACCTATAAGCCCAAGAGGAAAAGTCTTACACCAACAATCACAAACTACAGAATCCAATATTAAGGTGTGGAAGTTCTCTGGGAACAGGACCAAGTGTGAATCTGCCAAGGTAATCTCTAACCTATTTTGGCAAAAAGAAAGATGCCAGTCTAGGTGAGGGGAAGAAGCTGTGGCTCCTGTCTCCTGGGCTGCCACTGCACTCTGCAATCTCCTATCAACACTTTGCTGTCTTCCTCCTTTCTCAACTTCAGTTATTTTTTTCAGATTCCTCTCTATGGCACACAATCTTATACCCTTTTACTTACATATACACCCCCTACATATGTCTAAAATGGCAACAGTATAAATGTATTGAACAGACATGAGAGATTTCTTTCACTGATGTTTTCTGGTTCCATTACAAATCATGAAATTTTTACTTTGTTTTGAGGAAAGGGAACAATATATTTGTTAATACCTAGAAAGCACCCAAGATATCCCAAGGAACTGAAATAATGATTTTGGAGCAGAAATTAGAAGCAATCTGCACATATGACTTGCAAAAGCTGGACTAAAATGTTGATTTTTTCCCCCTGAGGAGCCTTATGAAATATAGATTTTTGTCAGAATCATTCCTAACTTCAGACCTCCAAAGGGCACCTAATTGCCAAGAATTCTTGAAGTAACCAATTTCTTAGCATGCTTCCAATTTTTAAAACACATTATGGAATAGAACTTTTTAAAATATGAATATTGGGTTCAAAACAATTCCAAGTAGATGTTGTACTAATAATGTAAAACAAAGATAAGAGCAACTACCTCCCTAAGGTTACTAATTGCATTAATAAAAGCCAATGCCTATTTAATCAGATGTTGTTTTACAAATTTACTATACTGGCAGGCATGGTGGTGCAGGCCTTTAAATCAGCACTTGGGAGGGAGGGGCAGGCGGATCTCTATGAGATCGAGGCCAGCCTGGTCTATATAGTGAATTCCAAGGTGGGCTTAGACTAGGGAGACCCTGCCAAAAACAACAACAAAAAAAAGGGAACTCACTACATTAACCTAAGCAAAGCATACAGTTATCTGAAGTTGAACAATATTGTGAAAAAAAATGGATTCTAAAATTTGAAAATACATTTAAGTCTCAAAAGCGGAGTTAAGAAACAGAAGCTTTTCCTCAAGGACTGAGGTGTGTGGGGTGGGCGTGTGTGTATTCCACCCCCCCCAAGCAGAGAACTCTTCTCCCAGACCTTGAAGAGATATAACATACAAATCAAGGTTACCACCCACCACCTCTGAAGTCTGGTTACTTCAGTCTATTTTAAACCATCATTTCTTGGCCTTTTTAAGTTATAAAAATTCATAAGAGGTTTGGCGACATGGTTCAGTGGATAAAGGCAGTTGTCATCAAGCCTGACAACCTGAGTTCGATGCCCTGCGCCCACATGGTAGAAGGAGATAAACAGCTCTAGCAAATGGTCCTCTGGCCTCTGCACGCAAGCCATGCGACCACACACACAAATGTAAAATAAAAAATTCCGTAGTAAGAGGACTAAAACCTCTAAGTGTTAAGGTGTTTTAACTCTACCAGGGCATTTTAACTTCACAGCCCACAAAGAAAGTGTTGTAGCCTCGTTTTAGAGATGAGGAAGGAAACTGAGGCTTACGCGGCAGGCTGGAGTCCCAGGGGTGGGGCTGGGCTTCGGGATTCCGGGCTTCCTGCCTGCCGACGGGATACACAGCAGGCTCTGGAAGCGCAGCCCGTGGCCTTGGCGCTTCAGGAAGCACCGACCACAGCCTGGACAGACGGCCTTCCTGCAGAGTCCGCCCCGGCCGACCTGCCAGCCCGTCCCTCCGGTGTCCTTCCGAGGCCGGACACCGGCCCGTCAGGCGATACGGCCCCCGGGCAGGTGCCCCGAGAGGATGCCCAGGAAAGGCCCGCAGGGGTCCCGCGTGGGGTGCAGGGCAGGGTCCCCGGTTGTGGCCCCGCTGTGGGCGCCGTGGGTGGGGGACCCGGTGAAGGTCCCGGCGGGCTCCTAAGGGCCCGGCGCTCACCTTCCGACAGCTCCAGCTCCAGCTCCGCCAGGCTCTCGCGCACCTCGGCGGGCAGCGGCGCCGCCTCCAGCGGACATCCGCGGTCAGCCATGGCCAGGGGCTGAAGCGCACCGGCGGCCAGCAGACCCGCAGCAGCGGGCAGGCGCGGCCCGGACGGCTCCACACCGGCGCCCGCACGAGCGCAGGCGACTCCTCCCGGAGGCAGCTTCCCCGGCGGGTTCCCGCGCGCCAGCAGGCCCACTCGGGAGCGCGCGTGCGCGGCCGAGGGCGGAGTAGCGCCTGCGCGGGTGCGAGCCCAAGCCCCGCCCGGCAACACTAAAGGCTCGCTTCCACTGGCCGGCGCCGGCATCTGGGGACGACCATTGGGAGACACCTGCCGCGTCAGCTCCGGCGTGGCGCAGGTCCGATTGGCCTGGGAAGCAGACCGAAGTACAGCAGGTTTGCGACCCTGACAGTAGGCTGACTACGCGGGCCAGGAGACCGTCTGCGCTTCCAGCCTCTTCCCCCTGGGTAGCCCTGCTGGCACCCTCTGTGAGCGTCTGTTGGATGGAAGCAAGCACGCTGTAGCATACGCCACTGGTTTCAATGTGTGTGTGTTCATTGCATTTCACAATAACGCCACAAGTATTCTGCACTGACCAAGAAGACTCTCCAGCAGTGTCTCAGCCCTTGAGATGACTTTGGGACGTGGAATCAGAGACCTGTTGGGAACCTTGGTGGAGCTCTTGAAGGCTCGCTGCTCTCAGAACTATAGGCATATCTGAGGGGTGCAGGAGCAGACTGGTGGCCCAGAGTAGGTGTCAGTCCAGACTGGCTAAGGGTTGTATCCTGGTGCAGACCTCATCTGACTGAAAAGAGTAGAACAAAAGTCTGGCCTTTGAGGCCAAACAAAACCTCTGAAGAGCAGCAGTATTTCTGTTACCAATGATCCAGCCAGGGTCCTTTAGCTCCCCTTGGGTGGCAATTGCAAGTAGGCCAGGAGTTCTGAGGCTTTGAGTGTTGAAGGGTTATAAGCTGGGCTAACAGGCTTTATGCTGGAAGCCCTGAGAATTGTAGACTTTTGGCTCCAGGCTAGCTCTAGGTGCTCAGGTTAGATTGGGTTTGGATTGCCTGTGGCCAGCAGCTAATGAAATCATCATAGTATCAGCTAATATTGTAAATTCTAAGCCATGGATGTCAGGACCCTTTACCTTTTCAGCCATTAGTGTTGCTGGTCGCAAGCCTTGAATATGGACCATTTGCCTTAAAGTCTTGGCAGCTCCCAGGAACTCTTCCAGCCAAAGATGCCTACTCTGTTTTCCTCAATTTTGCCCCTGTGCCACACACTCCTCTGCCTTCAGCCTCTACCACTCTTTAACCACCCTCTTGCCATATGCTACCTTTTCAATAAAAATAATAGGTAAGCAAAAAATTTGAAAAAAAAAAAAAAAGACCAGTTTGGAGGCTTTTAGCAGGCCTATTACAGTATCATGAAACACCATAGGAGGGTGTCTGGGACTGATTTACAATGTGTGGTGACTAATTGCTTATACAACCAGGATATGTGGTAGGCAAACAACTGTATTTTTTTGTACCAATTACAGGTCCTATATAGAGACTAATCACAAGCTTTGCATAAAAAACAGTCACTAGTTCCACATTATACCTATCACTAGTCTTTTTGCTAAAGAGGTGCTTTCTGTCATCTTGAGTGAGGATAGCTGCTGAAGTTCGTTGAGGCTTATCTTTCCTAGGATGCTGCCTTTCAAAACTGGTACAGATTGTCTGGAGTAGTTGTGACCCGAGCAAGGCTTTCCGAAACAGGTGTTCTGGATTCAACTGTAGTGATTCTCCCAGCTGGAGTATTTCCACAGTGACTGTAAAGTGTCCAAAACAAGCAGTCTTCCATGAAGGCAGTGAAGCAGGTTGCCAGAGAAAGGGCTGCTCAGCTGACACTTCCCCACTCAAGGGTGTCTGTGAGGGCATTTCCAGGAACCATTAACAGAGGAGAGGAAAGGGTCTCCCAGAGTGGGCAACATCTTCTAGTGGCAGCCCACATATGAAGAGACCTGAGGAAAAATTAGTTTTGCCTGTCTGCCTTCACTTCTTGCTGGTGGGTGCATATATCCTATTGTTTTGCTGCTGCTGCTGCTGCTGCTGCTGCTGCTGCTGCCACCGCCGCCGCTGCTGCTGTTCTTCACTGGCATTCTAACCTAGCCTTTTTTCAAACATGAACTCAAGGTCAGCAGATATCCAAGCATCCTCCAGGCCTTCAGCACCAAATTGAGACTGCTGAGGCATCCAGCTTCATGGACTGAGCCATTGTTGGGCTGCTTAGACCCTATTGTGTAAATCACTGCAGTAAATCCCCTTTTACCAAATACATTCTATCTGTTCTACTCCTCTAGATGAACCTTACTAACACTTAACCCACTTAGTGGATACTAGACATAGAATTATGGTTACTTCTGAGCATAATTCAGCTAGAAACATAATGAGATAAAATGGGCACTCTAGTTCCACCTCTGCCTCCAAAGAGTTGTGTTCAATAGGACAACAGTAATAAAGTACCAGAAACTGAGCCAGCTCAACAGAAGTTTACTGTGTCAGAATTTGGGAAGCTAGAAGTCTGAGTCCAAGGTATTGGACAGGATTGGTTCCATCTGGGACTATAACAGAGAATCTAATCTTTGCTCATTCCTATCCTTTAGTGGCTGCTGGCAATCTTTGATGTTTCTTGGCTTATAGATCTTTCAATCTCTGCCCTCATGTTTGCATGGTGATCTTCTGTGCCTGTCTGTCCAAATGTCTACAAATATCATTCATACCTAATATGGAAACATTACAATTAGCTCATATAAACTTGATCATCTGCAAATTCCCATTTCCATATTCACAAGTACTGGAGATTAGGACTTAAACATTCTTTTTGTGGTGGAGAAAGATACAGTTCAACCCACAGGTTGTAATACCCAACATGTATGTACTAGTAGTGGCTGAGAAGGTTTGTATGGCTGGGTTATGAAAATGCTTAATGAAGAGAGCTAGAATGTAAAATTAGGCACTAGAGTTAATTGACATAAGGAATGTTCCAAGATAAGATATTTAATTCCCTGGAAATGAACATCTGAAGAACATTACATTAGGATTAGCCAGTCAAATAAATGAAGAAGATGCTGGAGACTATATGTTAATACATGAGAGAGAGCAAGAGAGTAAACCTCAGAGGCTTTCTACTAATTTTTTTAGGGTCTAATGGTCAGGGGTGCTCTAGGTCATTCCTTCCAAACGTAAAAGAATGATCAAATCTTGAACTTCCTATCATCAGAAGCAGAAGGAGACACAGCTTGACACTGCCAGTTGTGTAGCCTGAGGATTTCTTCCTGGAAACCTCCACTCAGTGTAGCCGAGATGGTAACATACCACAGAAAAGAATTTCAGGATAAGCCAAAATGAAACACTTGAGGCCTTTTTTTTTTTTTTTAAAGACAATATAAGCCAGGCATGGTGGCGCATGCCTGTAGTCCCAGCACTTGGGAGGCAGAGGCAGGCAGATCTCTGTGAGTTCAAGGCCAGCCTGGTCTACATAATGAGTTCCAGGACAGCTGGGACTACAGGGAGACCCTGCTTCAAAAAGACAAAAAAAAAAACCAGTATACTCTTAGATTTGAGTGCAGGTGTTGAGAGAGAGGCAGGCAATAGCTGTATGATTTGTGGCTTTTGAAGTTACATTGTTCAAAGGATGCAATTAACAACCAGGTCCAAAGATGACAGTAGTTTTAATATTTAAGTAAAATATGAGCTCGTTTTTACTTATTTCTCTGACAGAATTCCCTTTTGTAAGTGAAACTGTAAGGTGGCTTATGAGGTAAATTGTCCTGATTTACATTTTGGCCTTAAGGATTCATCATCTGTTTTAACATTCTTGTTTGAGATACATCTCTGAAAAGGTAGTATTGTTTTTATGCAAACATTCTTCATGGCAGTTTTTGTCAGTTGCATGGAGTTCAGCCTGGGAGATGTGTGTAAAGCAGCTCCCTTGGAGGAGTATAAAGGACTCATGTCCCCTTTATCATCCTCCTCTCTATCCTGCCTCACTACCTTGAGGAAAAGAAGACTGCTGTAAAATTCTTTTATGTGTATATGTATACATATATAGGCACACATGCCATGGTACATTGTGGAGACATTGAGAGGACAACTTACTGGAGTTGGTTCTCTCCTTAGACCATGTGGGTTCCAGGGGTCAAAGCTGGTCACCATCAGGCTTGAAAGCAAGCACCCTCACCTGCAGTCATCTTGCTGGCCCCATTTTGTGATTTTTTAAGTTGAGTATATTCCACACCTGGGCGTATTACCCTGGTTCAATTAGGGGCCAAGGTATGTGGAAGACTACCAGTTTTAAAAAGCACCCAGAACAAGACTAGAGAGATGGCTCAGTGGTTAAAAAAAAGCACTGGTTGTTCTTCCAGAGGACCCGGTTCTGTTCCCAGCACCCATATGGCAACTAACAACTGTGCATTACTTCAGTTCCAGGGGATCAGATACCCTCTTCTGGCCTCTAGAGCATTGCACACATGGGTGCACTTACACACATGCAGACAAAACACTTGTGATGGTTTAAATGAGAGTGTCCCCCATAAGCTCCAAATAGCTGGACATTTTGTCCCCAGTTGACGGTGCTATTTTGGGAGGTCTTAGGTGTAGCCTTGCTGGAGGAAGTGCATCACTGCAGGAGGGAGGGTGGGCTGTAGAAAGAAGTGCAGCCTGAACAACCTGCGCATGCGCGCTGCAAATGCACCAAAAACATCCGGCTGAGTCTAACCTGTATTCTGCCAAAGGACATGGAGATGGCTGACACAAGATGGCTCAACCGGAGGGCCAATGAGGATCAGACATGATCTGAGAAAGCCTACCGGGGCCAGTAGGACACTGGGAGGGGGATATAAGGGAGCCCCATATCTGCAATAAACGAGTCTGCAGCTGCTCGCACTGCCTGCTTCTCACCTGACTCTCGGAGTCTGTGTCATGACTCGTGCTGACTCTACCCCTGCCCGAAGGGCCCCAGGACACCTGCAACATCTGGCTCCCAGAGTGGGTTCCCCATGCTGGTATGGGCATTGACCTTCTTGGGTTCTGGCCATCGTTGTGGTAGTTGCTTTTCTCTTCTGGACCGTGTTCTTTGCACTTTTCTGCTGGCCATACATCAACCACTCCAGAGATCGGCCTTAGTTTCGCTTTCTCCACCCCAACCCACCTGGGTGCCTCTCCCCCA